AAGGAAGACTGCCCAGGAGGTGCAGATGTGGGTTGGGTTTGGAGCCAGAGGGTGTGAGGGAGCTCTTTAACAATTCAGTGACCCAAACATTTTGGGGTTTTCCACATGACTCTACACACTTTGGGTGGTTTTCATTTACAACTGAGAAATTGTTTTAGTGGGGGAGCAGGTGATGGCAGGGCAGTGGTACAAAACCATAATTATGAGGTCATCTACTCCCCCTTGAAACCAGTGACTCCACCCCTAGCTTACAAGTCTCACCCCCCTAGCCAATCAGTGACTCCGCTGCTAGCTAGCTCATATACTGTCCTTCCCGCGTCTAGCTGTTCACTGATGCTGAATTATCTAGAGATTATGGAACCCTCTTTAAAGAGCAAGTCACCCCCTACAAGAAACTTACTTCACTCCCACTTCATGTTTGAAAAATGCAACAAATGCTGTTGCTTGGCAGACCAAGAGGGCGGAGCCGCTAACAAATACACACACACACAGGCTCACAATGGCATTATGACATCATAATATACCTGATGACATCATAGCATACCTCTTAGCCAATAGCGGTGGCAGATTTAAATTCAAATACAGTGCAGAATTTTTCCCTGACAACGGCGCAACACTGACAGTTTTAGGCAGAATATTTGATTAACCAAGATGCACTGAACTGCCAAATTATTGACTACACGTGTCTGCAGCACGATTAGACGCTTTAACAAGGACAATTCTGTCCCTCATTGTCCTTCACCTCTTCATGTGCTCGGCCACCTCTAAACCCATGTTTCCGGTCATTTCCATCCTCTTTACAGTCCTCCAGTTCCACGTGAAGAAAATGTTCATTTTATAGTTTTTCCAGGAGGTATTCTTCGAGCTTCTTCTTGTCTGCTGCTGGATATCTTCGGCTATTTTCGTGGTTCTTAGGGCGCAATGGTGGCACCGTCGATGACAGCGGCGTCCCGACCATTCACACGCTTGCATTCTCAGTCTTGTTGGAGATGTTTAGAAAAGAGAGCTTGACTCTATCCATCCTTGCAAGCCTGCTGGAGAGCCCTCGAAAGGATGCATGATGACACTGCGTGCATCCGTCCCGACGCAGACGGAGAAGTATAAACTAGGCTTTACTCAAACACAAAGATTCTGCTTACTTGCATTGATTTAGGTATGCACTGCCCCTATCGCCAGGGAAAACACACAATGTCACTTTAATGGAATTTTTGTGTGAGATTGACAATTATGAGAAATTTTATTCTGAATTTAAACCAGTTCATAATACAGAATCAGCTCCACTCTGGAGATGTAATCTTGGTGCTGTTGGCTGTATTTGACACTGTGGACCAAGTCTTCTGATATCCCATCAGCAACATTTTGCTGGTGTTGGAGGCTTTGCCCTGGACTGGTTTGTGTCCTGCCAGATGGATAATTCCTTTAGTGTCATTCTGCATCATCCCGTTAGCTGCTGTCATGTTCCCACATCTCCCTTCTAGTCCAGTCACACCTCCCCCAGCCAATGATGGGCCAATTTGAGCTGCTCTGAGTAGGTACTAATGGAAAAGGCCTGTTAGAGAACACCGCAGTACCTGTAGAAATCCCACAGCTTTCTGAAGAGAGCATGGAAACGTCAGCCAGATGGTGGGAATTAAAAGCAGGACCCTGTTGCTGTGAGGCAACAATTCTCACCACTGGTGCCCAAAGCACTGCTCAGAATGTCACAAACCAAACAACACGATTGTTTACAGTTTCAGGTATTCCTTGTTGACACTGATATTTTGGTTTTGTACCTCATCACCGGTGAAATGGCCTCATTATAGTGGAGTTCATCCATATGTAAAACGCATGCCCAGTTTAGTTACTATCCACTACAATACTACAACCAGCCACAGATATGTTTACAGATTAAAATAACTTTTATCATAATAAAAATTCTTCTAATGAACTTTGACCTTCCATTATCTTTTGGGATGTAAAACAGCCTGAATGATCTTCACTGACATGTTTACATTCGATCACTGACTATTTTTGTCGCTCTGCTCTTTACCGTCTCTCTCTCTCTCTGTCTCACACACACACACGCGCACACACACACACACACACACACACACGCACACACACACACTTATGAAATGCTCCTGTTTCCTATGAGTTCCCCAGACAACACCTGCTTTAATGAATCATGCTAAAAAGCTGCCAAATAAAGGAATGTGTGTGTATGAACTGGAACGAGGATCATTCCTGAGCTCCAGCTCATGATGACCTTTTGTTGCTCAGCCATAAAACCTCACAAGTGAACTGGGCTGTCTTTGACACGTTAAAGGTTCTGTTGGACACAAAACGTCTGCGCCTGCATGACTACGTGCACGTGGATTTGTGTTGATGTCACATTTTAGTTTTATAAACTTGTTACTGAAAGTAAAAGTAAACACCAGAGGAATTCAAGCCAAACTTATAAATACAGGACTCAGTTTTCTATTGTTTAACTAAAAGGAAACAATAAAGTTTATTCACAACATTTCCTGGTCTGAGTGCATCTGTAGAACTGTACAGGTCCTTCTCAAAAAATTTGCATATTGTGATAAAGTTCATTATTTTCTGTAATGTACTGATTAACATTAGACTTTCATATATATTAGATTCATTACACACAACTGAAGTAGTTCAAGCCTTTTATTGTTTCTAATATTGATTTTGGCGTACAGCTCATGAAAACCCAAAATTCCTATCTCAAAAAATTTGCATTTCATGAAAAGGTTCTCTAAACGAGTTATTAACCTAATCACCTGAATCAACTAATTAACTCTAAACACCTGCAAAAGATTCCTGAGGCTTTTAAAAACTCCCAGCCTGGTTCAGGCTGACTGCTGTCCAGAAGGCCATCATTGACACCCTCAAGCAAGAGGGTAAGACACAGAAAGAAATTTCTGAACGAATAGGCAGTTCCCAGAGTGCTGTATCAAGGCACCTCAGTGGGAAGTCTGTGGGAAGGAAAAAGTGTGGCAGAAAACGCTGCACAACCAGAAGAGGTGACCAAGTGAGAGCCATTATCCACAAATGGCAACAACAAGGAACAGTGGTGAACCTTCCCAGGAGTGAGCGGCCGACCAAAATTACCCCAAGAGCGCAGAGACAACTCATCCGAGAGGTCACAAAAGACCCCAGAACAACTTCTAAAGAACTGCAGGCCTCACCATAAGAAAGAGACGGGGCAAAAATGGCCTGCATGGCAGATTTCCAAGACGCAAACCACTGTTAAGCAAAAAGAACATAAGGGCTCGTCTCAATTTTGCTAAGAAACATCTCAATGATTGCCAAGACTTTTGGGAAAATACCTTGTGGACTGATGAGACAAAAGTGGAACTTTTTGGAAGACAAATGTCCCGTTACATCTGGCGTAGAAGTAACAGCATTTCAGACAAAGAACATCATACCAACAGTGGAACAGGGGTTGTTTTGCTGCTTCAGGAACTGGAAGGCTTGCTGTGATAAATGGAACCATGAATTCTACTGTCTACCAAAACATCCTGAAGGAGAACGTCCGGCCATCTGTTGGTCAACTAAAGCTGAAGCGATCTTGGGTGCTGCAGCAGGACAATGACCCAAAACACACCAGCAAATCCACCTCTGAACGGCTGAAGAACAACAAAATGAAGACTTTGGAGTGGCCTAGTCAAAGTCCTGACCTGAGTCCTATTGAGATGCTATGGCATGACCTTAAAAAGGCGGTTCATGCTAGAAAACCCTCAAATAAAGCTGAATTACAACAATTCTGCAAAGATGAGTGGGTCAAAATTCCTCCAGAGCGCTGTAAAAGACTCGTAGCAAGTTATCGCAAACGCTTGATTAGTTATTGCTGCTAAGGGAGGCCCAACCAGTTATTAGGTTCAGGGGGCAATTACCTTTTCACACAGGGCAATGTAGGCTTGGATTGTGTTCTCTCCCTAAATAATAAAAACCATCATTTCAAAACTGCATTTTGTGTTTACTTGTGTTATCTTTGACTAACGGTTAAATGTGTTTGATGATCAGAAACATTTTGTGTGAAAAAAACATGCAAAAGAATAAGAAATCAGGAAGGGGCAAATACCGTAAATCCTCTAATACAGGCCCGGGCCTGTATTTGACTCAAGCTCATCAAGCTCCAGGCCTTTATTGGAAGGAGGGCCAGTATTAGAGGCAGGCCTCTATTTCTATTTGAGCAAAATGAACTAATGGTTCGCTGGAGTTTTTGACAATTAAAATTGCGCCCACATTTTCAAAGTTAAAGACATTTCTTTTAACAACGGTAGTTTCTGCTTCAGCCCTCTTCCCCCTCCCCCTGCTTCAGCCCTCTCCCCCCTCCCCCTGCGCAGCGGCCGCAAACTCACTGATGCGCCTGCAGCCTCTCGGAGTTCCTGCTGCTCTAAACATTAAAATAATTATTTCATTTTCTGTTCCTCACTTCTGATGACCTTCAATGGTGTCTGTTTGTTGCAACCAGCAGGTACAAAAACTAACTTGTTTTTATTTGACTATTTTTCTGTCCCGTCTGTTTATTATCTTCCTGCATCTCCTCTCAATCCTAAAGAGAAACTGCTACCTGGGTTCATATATATTCACCTCATGAGTTACCTTTGAACTGCAGTTCTAAAAGATCTACCGACTGCAAAAACAGCGGAGCGCTCGCTCTTTGGCGGCCGTATCAGTGATTGGTGCGTCGGAGGACAAGGTGATGCGCGCAGCGCCCCGCTCCACAGCATGCAGCGAAACGCATCAGGCGCAAATAAAAGACAGAAAACATTAAAGGAAATGAACTGACATGAACGATCGCGTGTTAAATTAGTTTTTGAGGTGGCGACACCTGATTGTTACTGTGGCCGTGCGCAGGAGGCAGATCTGCCGACCGGAGTGCTCGCTGTTTGGCGGCCGCATCAGTGATCTGTGCGTCGGAGGACAAGTTGATGCGCCCCGCTCCACAGCAGCGATACACATCAGGCGCAAATAAAAGACAGAAAACATTAAAGGAAATGAACCGACATGAACGATCGCGTGTCAGTACCTACGCTCTGGCACAGCGCGTTGCCCCCCACCCCCCGAGCGCAGGAGCTTGTCACCTGCTGATAGCAGGCTGCTGTCTTTTCCGAGGGCTGCATCTTGCCGGTCATTATCACGTGACAGCGACTAGTCGACGACAGGCATAAAAAGTCACTATAGTGAAGTTGACTAGTTCATACACCCCCTACTGCTGCTCTCCAGAGTGTTCTGCAGCATAATCAGCACGTTCTCTTTGAACTTGATAGTATAATGACCTGGCTGGGGTTGTAAGCCAGGTGCATTCTGGGTATTGTGTTATATGTGTTTCCTATCGTTCTGCTAGTTCCTATGTGCTGATTTGCGTGTTGTGTGAGTGTTATGTAAGCCACAGGGAAGGTGATGTGTGTTCTGTGGAGCGGGTTGAATTAGCATGGTTAACTGACACCGTGACTCTGTGTGGTAGGAGCATGATAGAGGATTGTGTCTGTAGCGTTACAAAGCGTTGAAGAAAAAGCCTATTAAGGGTCTGCGTGAACCTCTACTGCCTCCTGCTGGTTGATATAAGGACTATAACCCTGCCGCTGAGACGCTCATACTTGCTTGTTACCACATTCCACCCGGCCACAATAAGAGACCGGCCATTATTTACCTCCGCTGACTCCCGACACTGGCCAAAATTGGAGACCCGGCCTTTAATTGAATGCCAGCCTGTATTAGAGGATTAACGGTAGTTTTTCACACCACTGTGTATATGAAAGTCTAATGTTCTATTTCGTCTAGTCTTAGCCCTTAAGCTAGCTGCTATTGGAAGGATGATCTCCGCATCAGCCAATCATGAAGAGCTTAAATGTACGCCCACCAATAGTGGGCCCCCTTGTGGTATATAACCACAGTGACCCCACTGCTCACCTCCCCTTTTTCTCTTCATGCCAAGCTTGAGAGCTTTATTAAAGAGCAAATATTATCTCAAAAGAGCAAATTATCCGGACGACTTACCAGCCATGTCCAGCGACACCAGACCCTGCCCGACCTGCCAGACGGACTCCATTTCCAGCGGCGACCTGCACGCTAAGTGTGAGGTCTGTCTCGGGGCTCACCACGCTGGCCTGGCCTTGACCCCGCAGGCCTCGTGCCCGTTCTGTGCCGCTCTGCCCGTGGCGGAGAAGATTCGCCGTGTCGAGTACTTCACTCCCGCCGCCGACGAAGAATTTCCGGTGGCTGACTCCTACCCGCTGGACAAGGCTTTGGTTTTCTTCGACGCCGGTCAGGAGCCGGCTGGCTTCAACCGGCTGGATGACGTCACTGACAGCGAAAACTACGATGAGGCGGCGTCCCTCCTAGACATAACGGAGGTCGACGAGCTTCGCTCAGCGGGTCCTTCTGCCCCAGTGGCTTCTCGCTCCTCCCTGCCAGCAGTAAGAGCACTGCTCCAGGAGTTGCCCGCCATCATTTCTGCGTCAGCAGCCCGCAAGGGGCTAGCTGTGCCAGAACCGGCCCTGCCTGAAGCGGATGATTTGGCGGGAATTTTCGGGGCAACTCAGACACGCTGTCCAGACCCTGTCTGGCCGCGCTTCCCCGCTGCTATGAGCTGCTGGTCTGCCGCCTTCTCCGAGCCTGCCAAGCTCAAGGCGCCAGTCTCCACATATGCGCCCATCACCAAGGTCGAGGGGTTTTCCGACCAAGGCTGGCCGTCCGTTCCTCCACTAGAGCCGGATTTGGCCTCGCTGTTCGGCGCCAAGAACCACCTCGCTGGCCCGCGAGCTGTTCCCGCTTCAAAACATGACCAGCTGCTGACGCGGCTCACCGACCGCGCACATCAGTGTGCCTTTCAGACCGGCGCTGCAGGGAATAACATCGCCCTTCTTGCCTTCGGCGTCTCCAAGATGATGGAGGAGCTGGAAGCTCCCGAGGAGTCGAAAGCCGTCATAACTAAGACTGCTGATGCCATCCTCAATCTGTGTGCTGCTGTGCTCACCGGTTCTGCTCGCATCGCTGCCTGGCAGACCCTCATCCAGCGAGCGATCTGGCTGAAGGCCCTGCCCTCCATTCCGGAACATCTGCAAAGGGAGATGCTGGATGGCCCCATCACCACCGATGTTCTGTTTGGTCCCCATCTTAGGGGCGTCATTGAGAGGGCTCAGAAGACGGCCGAACTATCGGCTACGGTGCGAGACCTGGTTCACCCTCGGTCAGCCTCGCACTCCGGCCGTTCAGCCAGAGGATGGGACGAACGGCGCGGAAGCTTCAGACGTCCAGCTGCACCGCCCGCTCCACGGAGCCGGCCTCCCGCTTCGGCTCCACATCAGCGGGACCAGCGAGATGGCGGACAACGGTTCCGGCGGGGCCAGCAGACTCCGTCTTGGCAGTCCCAGGTGCAGGAGCCTCGCCGAAAGCAGCCACGGAAGTGACTCTTTGGGGGGAATGTGTGTGTACATGATTGTTCTGATGTTGTTGGGTTTGAAATAAAACCCAAAAAACGTCACTCAAAGAGCACAATCCTAC